GAAATTACATCATATCAGCTCATACCCTTGTTCTGGGAAGCAGTATGCCTATTAGAAATCACATGCAATCTTTGGGTGGTTGCTACCACAGCAGATGGTGCAAGTCCAAATAGAAAGTTCTTTCGTCTTCACAAGGCACTTGGAGATGTGCAAGTGATGTGTGCTACCGCACCAAGAATCTCTATGCCCCACACAGATATATAAATTATACTTTTTTAGTGATGCACCACATCTCATCAAGACAACAAGGAATTGTCTTAAGCATTGAAGGGCAACAAAGGGAACCAGATACATGTGGAATGATGGACAGATGTCTTGTGGCAGCATATCACAAGCATGGTGTATGAGGACTTTAACGATGCTCTGAAACTGCTGCCCAAGCTTACATATGAGCATATTAACCTGAATGCTTATTCAGTTATGAGGGTTAATCTTGCTGCACAAGTCTTGAGCTCAACAATGGCAGCAGTCCTAAAAGCATTTGTGCCCCCTGAAGCAGCTGGCACTGCCAAACTCTGTGAAATGGTTGATGGTTTCTTCGACTGCTTAGATGTAAGAAGCAGGATTGAACATATCCGTAAGCGCAAGCCCTTCCTGGCTCCATATACATCGCTTCAGGATGAAAGGTAAGCATTTTATCTTTGACTGGTTATAAGATCTCACAAGTAAGCTTTAGTTAGTAAATGAGTGACGTGAAATATGTATCTCTTGTAATACCCAATTTATCACATAATTGGCTATATGTCCAATTTTACTTTCCTATAGATAAACAGAGCTTGTAGTGTGGATTAGTTAAAGTGACAATTTTTTTTTAATTCAAAGTAGTAAATATGGACAATTATATGATAAATAAATTATTTCTATGGAAAGTATAGAACAAAATAGATCGAAAGTATAATAAATCAAAACTATAATCCTTCTATTATTTTTCCTAGATTTGAATTCCTGATGAAGTTTCTGGAGTACCTGAACTCATAGAAAACCAGCACAGCGAACAAACCTGGTAACTACACCCAGAATGCCAGAGCCAAAATGTTCTTATCCTGGCAGACACAGGAGGGATTGAAATCACCGTCCGTTCTGCAATTGAGTGTACAAAGTTCCTTCTCCAGGAAGGAATGGAATTTATTTTGACAGAACGCTTCCGTCAAGACCCAGTTGAACAATATTTTGGAGACGAGCGCAAACTTGGCAGGCGTTGTAATAATCCAGATATTCACCAATTTGGATATAATGCCAACACCATCCGCATCCAGCGGTCTGTTTCATGCAAAAGCGATAACACTAGGGGAAGGAAGGATAAACATCGACAATGGGAACAAGTGACAAATGATAAATTGCCATGCAGAAAGAGAAGAAAAACTGAATGATAGTTATTCATTGTTAAAATCAATTCAAGTATCATTTAGCCTCAAGTGATAATGATGATAATTAGATCTTACATTTTGAAAGATATGCTTTAATTTAGTAGTGGATTATTAAATTGATGTCTCTTGGATGATTTTTGAGACAAGTGAACAATATGTAAACAAATTTTGATCTAAAAGTCAATAATATCTTGAAACACCAAGACTGCTGTTGACATCATTATATAATTACTGATAATTTTATTGCATAACTGGCATGTGTATATATGTAACTAGAGTACATCGCCAGAAATCGAGGACATTTTGCACCCGCATTCATTGGTCAGCGGATTGCAGTCGGATGAAAACAAAGATGGCGGTCAGGACAAGTTCCCTATAAAATATTGAACGATTTAAGTTCTGTGGACCTTCTTTATTGAGAAAAAAGCAAAAGAAAAACAACTTTGAACAGGTCTCTTGGTATTTTTAAAGCTAGGCAGTGCGACCCAGCAATTTGCTGTCTGATGTAATGCAAGGGACATTAATTCTGTACTAAGCTTCAATGTCCACTCAAACTGGCTTTTTTTGTAATCGTCTAAGATGTCAGACATTTTGGAAATTGTAGCTTAAACCACTTACATTAAATATGGGAAGATCTAGGCAAATCGTACTTGAAAAAGGGTTTTTCTCCCAGTTGAAAACACAGTTCAACGAACGTACTATAAAGATCCCTCTGATCTTTTAGAGATTTTTATCGTACATACATGTTTAAGTTCACAACTTTTGAGAGTCATGTCTTTTATCTTTGCCTGAAGATCTTCAAGGTTCATTTTCTAAATTAAGAACCTGTTTCAAATTTAGCTAAATAGGTTCTTATGTAAAGGGGGTCTAAATTGATATTTTTAGGCTAACAGGTTCTTAAATTTTAGTTTCTTATAAGCGGGTAAGTATACTGTATTTCGGATAGGTGGGCGCCGCGGAGTTCCCTATTTAAGGATGCCAAACAAAAATTGATACCGTCGTTTAGGCCCAAACCCCCAAAAAAGACGCCCTAATCTAGGTAAAATAATAATAATAATAAAAACAAACAAATAACGGCTAACCTCACACTGCAAAAAGAAGTCTTTATAAAATCGCTTTGCTTATGAGTTTAACCGCCTAGTTCAGTTTTAAAAGATCATTTGCTTTTCGTTAAGCTGGGCATTTACACACTACAATTTTAGCTGATACGATTCAGGTGGATCCCATTACCGACTTAAAATTAACGGGACAGTTAACATCGATAACGTTGTACAAGGAATATAACGTTGAGGCCCTGTTGGAGCTATTAAAACTATGGAATAACATTAGAAATAAAGCATAAGCCGGGTAGTTTTAGGAATAATGGAAATACGTTAAGGTACAACATTAATTACACCAGAGCGACCAAATTTACAATGTATTTTTCCATTACCAAATCGGAATATCGAAAAAACCTCGCACTCTTTTTTAGCCTATTTCTTCTGAGCGATATAGCCGATATAGTCAGTAAGTGAACCGATACTTAGCTGGTACTTGGCCGATATTTGACCGATACTTGACCGGCAGTCGACCGCTACATATCGGACGACATATATCGATAGTTGACCGATATATCGGTCAACTATCGGTCGTCTATCGGTCGACCGATAGTCGACCGGCAGTCGACCGATATATCGCCGGGTCGACTGTCGGCCGATATGTCGACCGAGTCCACCTATAGTACACATGATCCTCTTCTTTTAGGTAAAAAAAAAAAAAAGATCTGTGAAATGATTCATTTCACAGATCATTCATTCACTTGTTCATAAATTTGTTATGGATCCCTATTGTATGTGAACCATGCATGTCATTAATCACAGGAGGGAGCCTAGTACGTCATCGAAAAACCCTCCACGTTGTTAATGCGTCTAAATTGGATTAAATTTCCCTTCCCCCTCCCTCTCCAAATTTATAATCAAGTGAGATGTACATGTACTAGTTCATAGATAAATGAATCAGGAGCTCAGTACCTCAATACCTGGCTTTACTTATTTGTTTTTGTCAGGAAGACGTAATGGCTACAGCTACAGCTCCAGTGTCATTTTCCTCTATTAAAGAGACCACCAATTCTGCAAGACTTTGTTGTCTTCTGGTTGATGTGGGAGCTTGTGTGCTATGGGACACATTGACAGGATACATCCTCCAAACAATCTTCACAGAGACCTCCTCACACATCATGCCACACTACAGCTACTTCAAAGTAGGAGGGTTTTAAATCGAACGCAATGGGGAAAGTTATACCCTGCAATACGCACCTCCGTCAGTATCATTGAAAAATTTTGACATAACCCTTCTAACAGTCCTACTGAGGAACATTTGTGGTTTAAGTTCTCCAGCCACTGGATGGGATGCACTTCCACCTGCCACTGATGTAAGCACTGAGGCTGACATTGCACGGGTTAAATACTTCAGAAACTTTGTATATGGACATGATGAAAAAAAGACCTCTGTGGATGATGCAACATTTACTGTCTATTGGCAAGATATCAGAGATGCTTTGGTGATACTCGAAGGAGCAACATATCAAAAGGAAATTGATCATTTAGAGAATGAATGCATTGACCCTGTAATGCTCTGCAATGTCAGGCTCTTGTGTGAGGTGTTCAGTTTGTATGCTTGATTTGCCTTTTCTGTCATTGATACTTCAGAATATGGAATAAGAGAAAGGAAAGACAATGAACTGAAGGGAAAGGAGGAGAAGAAAGTACTGAAAGGGAAACATGAGACAAAAAAGGAAAGAATAAAATATAAATGAAAGGAAAGAATGGAAACTAAAAAAGGAAAACAAGGATTAGATAATGGGGTTGGTGGTTCTTTAATTTTATTCCTGAGTTTGTTTGTGGTTGCTTCTCCTCATTCCTGTATTATCAATTTTGTTGTCCCCTCCTTGTTTTTACATCATCTTGCTGCTGACAATTTTACCTTTCGGCTGAGACTTTCTTGTGGATGCTTTCATCAGTTCATCAAGTTTTCGGTCATTTTCATCCAGTTTGTCTTTAGTGTTATCATCATCTCTTTTCCATTCCTTTAGAAGTTCTCTGCAATCAGAGTGCAATTAAATGAATCCTTCATTTGCTTAATACCAATAACACTTAAATTTCAGATGTTGATGAGCCAACTGAACTTATAGAAAGGATTCGCCAACTTTATCTGACACGTGAAGGGCGACTTTCACCTTTTCCTTAGTGTGAAGATTTTAACTTTGAACTGAATGACATGTTTACCATGCCAACCATTGTCAAGCAAGATAAAACTAGAAGAACAGCAGTAGAACGGGTAACTAGCATAACTGCAGTCTTCAAACTTCACAGTGAATGCTCCAAACCCAGAACTGTCCTGATTGAGGGAGAACCTGGAATGGGCAAGACAACCTACTCTCAAAAGATAGCATATGACTGGGCATTAATGGTCAAGAAACTGACCTCTCTTTCCCAAAATTCAAAATGGTTTTTCTGCTCAAATGTCATGAGATGTCAGGCAACATCTGGGAAGCAATAGATGATTAGCTGCTTCCTAAAGATATTGAAGAGGAAGAAAGAGAGAACTTCTTCAAGTACATGCTTGCCAATCAGTCCCAGGTTCTGCTGGTACTTGATGGATTGGATGAAGCACCTCCAAATATTACGAAGCACTTTTCCAGCCTTGTTGAGAGCAGAGAACTGTCAGTGTCACATCATTCTTACATCCAGGCAAGAGGGCAGTGCTAAGATAAGCAAGTTTTGTGACACCTTGTTTCAAATAGAAGGATTTGCTTCAGAGAATTCTCACAATTACATCAAGCATTACTTCAAAGACTTGGAGGCTCAAGGACAAAAACTTTTGAATGATAAAGAACAAAATATCGAACTTGAAGAGCTGATTGTGAATCCCTTATTCACAGCAATGCTCTGTCTTGTTTATGAGGATTTAGAAGGTAGTCTGCCTTTGAGCAAGACTCAGTTGTATCTTGATATCACAGAAAGCATTCTTGAGAGATTTTGCCAAAAGCAAGGGTTGTCTCACAATAATGTCAACCTGGCTGAAGTTTACAAGGAAGAGCTGGAACATCTGGGAAGAAATGCCTTGGATATCTTGAAAAGAGATAAGATGCACATTGAAGAGGGTGAATTTACAGATATAATGAGAAAATCACCTCTGTTTGAATTTTTGTCAGTTCAGTCTAACAACAGCGAAATGAGATTCCATACATACTATGAATTTTCACATAAGAGTATTCAAGAATTCTTTGCAGGTCTTGATCTTTCTGACCAAATTTTAGAAGGGGAGATAGACTTTGAGAGACTGCTTGCAAACGAAGAAAGAAACTTAAAGGCCGTTGAACCAGTTCTTTTGTTCACTGCTGGTATTCTTGGCCATAAAAGTGGAAATAATGCCTTGTCTCTTTTAAAAGTCATTATCAAGAGAACAAATCTTTTCAAAAACTTGTGTTTTCCAAGTTTTTATCTTTGTTTTGCTTTAAAGTGCATTGGCGAATGCTCCACAGAAGATTCAAGACTGCGATTATTGGGTGCAAACCTAGAGCCTCAAGCCTTGATGATAAGTGATGACAGCTTCCCTGTTAAGTAGCTCGTTGAGGCCCTTCAAGTTAACCGCACAATGACTAATTTGATGATCCCTATTACACTTGTACACCAGTATGTCAAGTCATTTGATATGCTTCGTGTTAATAAAACTTTGACTAAAGTTCTTATCACAGATGATTTCATCAGTCCATATTCCTATGCATATGGTTTGCAGCAACTAGTAGATGCTCTAAGGCTTAAAAAAACAGTGCTTGAGTTAGCCCTTTGTGGCAAAACATGCGACAACAATGGAGCCAGGATCTTGGCAGGCTACTTGAATTGGAATAAGACTTTGAGTGCCTTACATCTGATCCGGAGTGACATTAGTGACGCAGGTGCCACAGCACTTGCAGACGTTTTATGGACTAACACCACTTTAAAGGTTTTGGACCTTTGGAAAAACCCAGGCATTGGTAATCTTGGTGCTCTGTCACTGTGTGAGGCTCTGAAAATCAACAAAACCCTTACCTTATTAAATTTGTCAGAAAGTAGAATTGGTGATGCGAGTGTTCATTCTCTTGCAGAAGTTCTCAAAACTAACACCAGCCTAACCTCTTTGTCACTGTCAGATATCAAAATAAGTCAACACAGCGTCAAGTCTATTGCTGAGGTCTTGAGTGTCAACTCTACTTTGGAACACCTACATTTTCAGGGAAACAAGGTTGGCACTGATGGTGCCAGGTTGATAACTGAAAGCCTTAAAGTCAATTCCACCTTAACTATCTAGACTTGTCAAGGAACGACATCAAAGCATCATGTGGTCATTCAATTTCTGAGGCCCTCAAAGTTAATGGGACAATGAAATCTCTGAGTTTGGCTGAGAATGCCCTTGGTGTTCATGGTGTCCAGCTAATTTCAGAAGGGCTCAGAGTTAATACTTCTCTGACATATCTGGACCTGTCCCAGAATTCCATTGGTGTGAAGGGTGTGGAGTCAATCACAGACACCATCAGAGTTCATGCTTCACTGAATAGCTTAAAGCTATCATTGAACAATATTGGTGATCATAGAGCCAAAAGAGTCTCTGAGGCTTTTAAAGTCAATGTCTCTGAAGGACCTGAATCTGTCTGGGAATTCTATTGGTGCTGCTGGAGCAGAGTAAATTGCTGAGGCCCTTAAAAGTAATTGTACTCTAACTATTTTAGACCTTGATTCCAATGTCATTGGTGATGATGGAGCCCAATCACTTTGTGAGGCTCTTAAAACCAATACCAGTTTGACCAACCTAATTGTTTCTAACAACAATATCCACTCAGCTGGTGCTCAGGTATTTGAAGGTAACTTTGCTCATGAACAACATTGGTAATTTAGGTGATCATGGGGATGGAGAACTAAATGAAGTCCCTTTATCAAGTTTGTCTTCTTTTCCTATTTCACATGACTTTTCACTACGATTTACCGATCAAGGTAGTTTTGATGTACTTGTGTCTGAAGAAACTTTGATGCTTCCTCACCAGTAAAGCATTTTATAAATTATAAAATGTAAGTCAAGTTGTAAAAAGCTAATTTCATCTACAGCTGTATGACTTTGCTTATTTTGTTATGGCTGACACCCATGAAGAAGTATGTTTCTTGGTAATCAGTGAATGTAGATTTCTTTCCTCTAACAATAAGCTATTGATGACTGGTTTGAGTCTGACAGCTTGAATCTGTATCTGATTGGCTGGTGTGAAAAGATTAAAGAAAGTACTCCTACTGCTGCTCTCTGCAAACCCATAATTTTTCAAAAACCACACAAAAGTTTTCTTTCCTAGAGTTTGTTGAGGACTCTGATATTTTCCTTGCCTGAAAGAGATCTAAATTCACTAACGAGCAACATATTCAAATTCCTTTTTCTGCTATTGCAGCTTGAGGATTAAGTTATACACAAGTTCAACCATATGTGAAGAAAAATGGTTGGTTAAGACGTTTATACTTATGTATACCTGCTATTATTAGAAACTGGATCATTGGATAATGCAATTCAAGACTTTTAATTGGCTTAGCCATTATGGTATATGAGCCAATATACCATAATCTAATATCTGTACATTGTAACATCCGGTTTCTTCTGACAAAAAAAATTTGAGAACATTTGTGTAATATCTTGGGGACATTTTTTTTAATAAAACAATTATTCCACTCGCACTTGTTAGATATGAGATGATTGTAGCCAACTCGCGCTACGTGCCCCGTTGGCTATCTATCATCTCATATCCAACATGCACTCGTGGAATAATTGTTAAATATACCATAGCAAAGTGGCCAAATGTCTTTAAAGGATAAGATTAAAAGAAAGCAAAGGTTGTTATTACTAACATAATATCACCATACAGTTTAGGAGGGTAGAGCTGAGCGTCCCTCACAGCTGATATTAGTTATGGAGATAGAGTTATGCTCATGGTTATGGGTATCAATCAGTTAAAAACTCAAAAGAAATATCTCTCCATTTCTTTTTACTCTGATTGCTTCAGCATAAGTTAGGACTTCCCACAAGTTCAAAAATTTACCTTGCTCAGACTGGCATCCTCAGATAGTTACTGTAGCAGGCCAGTAGTGTTTTCTTAGATGAACCTGTGAGTGATCAAGCTGTCACACACTCCTGATCAGCTCAACTGCTGTTTATCCCACATAACTGTTGAGTTGGGAACCTGCTCGCAGGAAAAATAAAATATAAAAGGAAAGACGGATTTTTCAAAATCAGCAGTCAATTGGACTTATTTTAGTGACTGAGGATTTCAGTATCTGTACCAACTTGCACATGGTACTTGCAAAAGAAACCTTCAATTTTTGTTAGCTGATTACTTCTAGTTTGAGAGGGATAGCTTGAAAGCCAGTCTTCAGTTTCTCCCCAAATAGCAGGTTTTGCAACACCTCTTAGTGATCCTACACAATGTTTCAGCCCTATTACAATGACATGTTAGTTTTAATATCTTCCTTCAAAGTAGTGGCTTATAAATAAGTACCTTTTGTCTTCTTAAGTCAAAATAATCAATAATTATACAACCATACCTAAATAATTTTATTTGTTAAAGTAGGTAAAAAATTTTGCAACTCAAAACTAATGTGGACTTACCGCAACTAAATAATTTGTGACAGAAATCACCTAATAAAATTAAAAACACTATTTACATATAATAATCAAAATAATTTTAATAATATTTAAAACAAGCATCTGTTCCTGTGATACCCATTACTGATCCCCCTTTCTATACAGGTCTAGCCTCTACAGTGTATAATTAACAGTTATTCCATTAGCGCGCTTTGGATATGAGATGACAGATAGCCAACGAGGCGCGTAGCGCCGAGTTGGCTATAATCATCTCATATCCAACAAGTGCAAGTGGAATAATTGTTTTATTAAAAAAACGCCCCCGAGATATTAGACAAATCTTCTCGACTTACTTTTGTAAGAAGAAACCAGACATTACAATGTACAGATATTAGAATATGGTATATTGGCTCACATACCATAATGGCTAAGCCAATAAAAAGTCTTGAATTGCACTATCCAATAATCCAGTTTTTAATAATAAAAAATACACTTTATAAAAACTGTGATATGTTTCTTCTACCAAACCAGCAGCCAGGAAGTTTCTACAGCAACTGTAAAAACAAGTGAACTGGATAATGTGAAGTTTGCAGCATTATTTTATCAGGCAAATGACAAAGGGCTGACTCTGAAAACATCACCTTTACACACACTTTACAGCAGTCAATTCACATTTTGTGATATCTTTATTCTACAAAACCAGTGGCCAGCACTTTTCTACAGTAACTGTAAACACATGATAATTTGACCATCTGATGTTTCCAGCATT